CTATGTCCAGCTGGTAATATCCCAGAGGTTACTCCATATACACTGGATATAAAAATTTAATCAGACTCCAGATTTTTTTCTATTTTCCAGAAGTTGTCTATGTTATGAAGTAATAACAGGTGCACACTTTAAACAAAATATATTGGCAAAAGGAAACAATAGAGAGGAGAATATAAATCTTTTGTGCTGGTTTTGCTTTGTTCCTAATTAATTAATTCCAAGGCAGATCATTCAGTGTATAGAGATGCAGAGAGACAAAAATCTCACCAAAATTAATGCCATTAGGCTGTAGGAGAGTAACAATATCTGAGCTTTTAAAAGTGCGTGCGAGGAACAGGCTGTTAGGTTGCTTCTAATTTCCAAGGCTAGAACACGAGAAGGGGCACACAGGAGAAACTTAGATGCTCCTTTATAAGGCAATGGCCATTCTGTTTTCTGACGCATTAGGGCACAAGGACAAAGAAAGATTTTAGAATTGTGAGGCTCTGGTGGGGCTGGACCTCAATATCTGCAAAGCAAGACCTGCCCCAGAGTATTTCTTCTTCATGTTACCAATTTCATAGACAATATAAAGCTCAAGCGATGGCAGTGAATCTTATTTTAAGGTTGCACCATTTAAGTCATGCAGTATTCTTTCTCCAAAACCAACATGTATTTGATTGTGCTCTATATCTTAGTGTACTAGAACTAATCTACTAAAATATTCATGTAGCAAAGAAAAATGGGAATAAAAAAAGTAAAGTATGTGCAGCGTGTCGGAATTAATGTGCCTAGGGGATCATTAACTTCTGTATTTCTAAGATTTTTAAATCTTGCCACCTTAATGGTGTTCTGACGCAGCATTTTACATTTAGTATTTTTCTTTTTTAAAATTTGAAGACAAAATGAAAAAAAGGATAGGAAGGGGAGGGGTAAGTGGAAGAAATAAAAGAGGATGAGGAAGAATAGGGCTGAGTCCTTTGCCTGGTGAGTAAAGCTCATAAACACCTTGAGCTAATAGCTTCATACACAGGATGAAATTCAGAGCATGCAAGCACAGAAAGCTATGCAATAATTAGGCAAAAAAATGAGAAAGACTTAATGGGATTTAAGTGATACATATGCAGAGCTGACCCTTAGATAGTCTTAAATGAATCTCACCCTCAGATGGCTGCCCTTCTAAATGGAAGTGCATGAAACATTAATAAATTTCCATGAAAATCCCACGTCTGAATTTTGTTCTAATTTTTAGGTATTTCTGCTGTATGTGTGCTGAAGCCTCTGCTTAGTAGTGAGAAATCTTTATTAATGCATTATTTATAAAAAATGTTTAAGGTATTTGTGATGTTAAAGGGTCCTGAAAATCCAAACTGTAAGAATGATTTTTAAAACATTGAAATTGAGTACCTAACTCTATTCTGCCCCCAGCTACAAATTACAGATGAAGCTTTTTATGCTCTGACTCAGAAAGAAATAATGAATACTTATTTTTGGCATCAAACCAGCTGGGGAAAATTATATTCCAAACTGCAAATTTTATAAAAATTGAGAGTGTGAGAACAAAAGAGAACAAGAGAAAAGGGTGGTTTGTAATGAAGACAGTTTTACAAGCGTAGCCGTGTTAGGCATACTAATCATCTGCGGTATCAGGTTAGAGAGGACATCTACAGCATCATGGAATCTGAATGTTCCTAATCCATCTTCCTGGTGTTCATGTATCCTCCCCAAAGCCTGCCCCGGGTCCTGCACAGCTGCATTTTCCTGAAGGCACGCGGGCTCTGTAGGATCATGCAGGTCTTTCTGCACAAAGCTTATTGCAAGAGGTGGTCTGCTGGCAGCTCCCCAGTGGAGCACATCTTATGTCAGAGTTGAGGTGATGAACTTTAATCTTAACGGAGAAAAACCCCCAAACACCCTTGATTCATGAAAATAAACTTGTATCAGTTGTTTTAAAATTGTGTCTTTTAAAATGCATTTTTCAGTTAAATAGGAGAGCTCAAGCATTAAGGTCTTCCTTCATTTTTTGGCCCAACAAACTTTTTGCAGAGTTAAATTGAATTGTGCAGAAATATTTGTGACTTAGGACATAAAGATACGAATCAATATAGAAAAAAAAAAAAATCCAGATTCTTCCCTGTCCCAGATTTCCCTATAAACCTGAAGACTATGCAGTACTTCAACATACACTTTTAATTAAGGATATAACCAAGTGTGTGCTCAGGTCACTGAAATGAACAAGGTGTCTTGTGTCTAAGTTTAATTAAAAGATTTCTTCATTGGATTGTGTTGTACAAAATTCTCATTTGTTTTATGTTTGTTATAGTTACAAGTGGTCTCTTGTCATGCAGCTCTATGCACTTCTCTCCTGAACCCGTACTTTAATCTGTGTGAGGGGTAAAAGGCACAAGTAGGACATTAATCTCCCTAAAACAACATTCTCTCTTGCATAGGTTTCCAGCGAAATAGAAGTCAGCCAATTTCTGAAAAATGTAGCTTTCGCGAACATGGGCTGACTTTTAGCTTCTCACTACCCCTATAATTGTACCATAGGATAAATTCAGTGGCATATTTTAAGCACATATTTAACTGTAAGCATGTGCTTAAATCCTGTGGGCTACAACAGGAGTTAAGTGAGTATTTCTAAGTGCTCTGAGAAGTAGGGATTAAATCCATCTGCCTTGTTGGTTCAGGATGTTTCAACTGGGGACAGCTCCCTTCTTTGTGCTCTCTGTCTTGTACCACCAAAGCTGTACTCTGCTGCTCGGGAGGAAGAGTTTGTCCTTTGATAGCTGTCACCGAAAATGTGATGCCTGGGTGTGCAAAGGTTCAGCATCTGTTCAGCCTTGACAGGCAAAATTGCACGGGGCTGTCTAGTTGGTAGTGTCTTGACAGTGAGAATGTTTTGCCCTGTGGGTTTCATGGGGACTTTTGAGTGATTGCAGGGTGGACAGACACCATGAATGCTTTGGGGTTGCCCAGTGCTGCGACTAGACGTGTAGCACTTACGGGAGGAGGTGAGTGATGCCTTATTAACTCCATTACTGGTCACCTGGCCCTGCTCTGGCTTACACCTGCCTTTACTGGGCAAACTGATGTGAAGCGAACTGTGAAGGTGTTTATTATCTTAATCAAAAAGCCAGATGGATTAGAGTTGGAACAGAAGGACTGTCATCTCGAGGACTGGGGGTCCATCCAACCCTGTATCCCCACTATAAGGTCAAGAAGAGTGATTCTTCTCCAAATACATAATCCCACCTTTCAGCACACAAAAGATTGGGGACTTCCTGCTCAAACAGCTGCATCCGAACAATTTAACAAGCCACAACAGAAATATCTTCCATGAGTTTATTGGAGCCTTTGTAGATGTCCATAGCATCCTGCACAAGGACTTCCAGAGAGCAATCTGGTTGTCTTCCAGTTTTTTCTGTGATTACACTAGAAACACTCTGGAGAGCCACTACTACGATACTCTTGAAGTAAATATTACAGCGTGTACGCAGACAGAAAAGTACAGTTCCTTACAGCAACTCATTAGCATGAATCAGAGATGATGCTCTGAGGACTTCATAAGCAGACGACAGTTGTGTGGGATAAGTAATCTCTGTCAGTTGTGCCTGTCTTTCTTGGAAGTGGCTGAGTGGGATTCAGCTGCAGAGAGATTTTAGCAATGTTTATGTCAAAGCAGAAAATGGGTACAGGTATTGCCAGTACTACTTCTGAGTGCTCTGTGAGGTTTGTCTGCTCTTAATTTCTGCTGCAGATGAAGGAAATGAGCCCCTTGTAGAAGCGCATACTTCTTTGGTCTTTAATGTAGAGGGCTATGAATACACTGAAGAGACGTAACTGCGATTTCACAATTCCAAATGCAATGCTTTTGTCTTCTCTGTGGTTCCCTTTGTGTACTCTTTATATAAAATTTGATCCATGGAATTCAGCTGCTGCAGAAAATTTTCCATGACCATTTAATTATCTGGTATACTGCAATTTATTTTTGTCTTCCACTATAACAAACATCCTGTACTAACTCATTCAGGCAAAGCCAAAAATCCCTCTTATTTTCTCTGTGCCATTAGCTTTTCAGCTCTCATATCAATTTTTTCTGAAAGTCTGCCAAGTCCTCCAAGCTGAGCGGAGTGGACATATATCAGTAGGCACCTCCAAGAAACAGGCTGTTTCGGTATTTGGCACACGTTTCTCTGAATTGACTCTGAACAAAGCAGGGTGCTAGCAGAATAATACTGGGGTGCGGAGGATTTGCATTTGGCAGAGGTACATCATGTTTCTTCCCATTTGTGGTGATTAAAAATCCCAAGTCACTTTGTATAAGAGAAATACCATGTTGCCTTGACTCAACTGTAGCGCTGAGCAAATGTGTTTTGGATGTACTATATAGAGGGTGTAGTTTTTCCATGGGATGCTGCCTTTTCTTAATTTCATAGAATCATAGAATCATTAAGGTTGGAAAAGACCTCAAGGATCATCAAGTCCAACCCAACACCACCTAACTCACTAAACCATGTCCCTAAGCACCACATCTACACGTTTCTTGAACACCTCCAGGGATGGTGACTCAACCACCTCCCTAGGTAGCCTGTTCCAATGTCTGACCACTCTTTCAGTGAAGAAATTTTTCCTAATATCCAGCCTAAACCTTCCCTTGTGTAACTTGAGGACATGTTTTTGACTCTTATACTTGATTCCTCACTGACAAAATGATACTTCACTGTAAACTGAAGATATGACTGCGGTAGTTATGTGACCATCCCTCCATCTCTTCCCTGCACCCACAGTTACTGACTTGATCTGTTTTTATCCCGTGTGATACTTAAGTTTTCTCATCCCCATTTTCATAGATGAGGAATGAGTAATTAAGAGACTTGCTCATTAAAAGAATTTTATGGCCAAGAGAGTCATACACACACTGCCTTGCTGCCAGGGCATAATTGATAAACTCCCTGGTGTGTGGGCTGAAATTTGTTTAGCTGTCTCATCACATTTCCTATTCTAATTTTCTCTTTCAGACTAACAGCTAAAGCCGTCGCTGTCCTCTTGCCAATCTTGGGAAGCTCGTGGATCTTTGGGGTTTTGGCTGTCAATGCCCATGCATTAGTATTTCAGTATATATTTGCTGTTTTCAATTCACTACAAGTAAGTACCGGGTGGGAAAGTTTATGGCTACCGAACTGCTGCTGAGATCCAATAAATGGATCATTAGTAATGTTTTCATATGCTTGTGTTTATTGGATTTTTTCTATGTTCCTTCCTCTGTCTTTTAAGTCTGTTCTGACCATCCAGTGCCAGCAACTGTTTAGTCTCTGTGTGAACAGAATTACCCCACTCCTTAGTGTTTCCAGTAGCAATAATTAAACAAATGAGACAGTGAGCTTGAGAAATGAAATTCATTCTTCAGGTGAGATTCTTCAGTAGAAGAATACCAGAACAATTTTTCAGCGTCAGTTTGAGGCCTCATTACTGAAAGCGAGCAGAAGTTTGTGGGAAAGGTGCAACACGAGGAGAAAAGTGGAGCTATTCTGCATGCTGCCCATGGCTCTGGCACGCTGGCAGCTGGACCCTCGTCTTCTTAATACACCAATCCAGAAAAATAGCTCTGTCCAAGAAGGAATGTAAGCATCTGCTTAGCTTCAAGCAGACGTTTCAGTAGAGGCATAGATCTATAGATGTGTTCTAATTCTTTCCTGAATAATGGTTACAACAGAGAAGAAAAAAAACGAACTTCTGTAAATCCTTTTTTGTCTTAGGAACAAATACCACGATGGTCACAAAAAGAGTGCAGCAGAGTTCTCCCCATAGAAAGTTCCAATTTTAATCCAAAATAAAACCCATAAATTTGGCTGAATATTCCCCAAAAGAGAATAAAATTATTTTGTGTGGGAAAGGGAATGGGACGTTTTCAATTTCCATTGGACAAAAAGCCCAAAGATAGCAAAATTCTCCTTTGAAAATTTTCTTAATGCTAATACCTTGCTTTTCAAATGTGAAAAATTTTGAACTGGTGTTTTCCAAAGAACATTTCCCTCTTGCTTTATCTTTGCAAGCACAGAAAAAAAATTGTCTTGTCATGAGAACAGAATTCCTGCTTCTTTTCAGCCAGATTTCTGCTTTAGCACCCCAAAGTTTAAGAGGTGCTGTTTTACAGGAAAAGGTCCACACGTGCCTCATAGTGACCTAGTGCTGCAAGTTCCTCCAGTTTAACATGGGGCACAGTTTGGTCTACTCTGATACTTATAGATCTCCAGCTACTCGATACCTGATTTATACAATACGTTGATAAATACATCGTTGTGTCTCATTCTTTACAGTCATTCTTCACACTTCTCCCTTTTATATCTTTTCAGGGATTTTTTATGTTCCTGTTTCACTGTCTTCTGAATTCAGAGGTATGTAACCAAATGGTGTTAATAAATTTGGTGTTACGAAATACAAGTAACATGAGCAGAAAACAAGAAAAGACTTCCTTCATTATCCCTGGCTGCTATGCCACTGATTTCTTTTTTCTTTCAATTAATACGTGACTATTAGTGACTTTTTGACTTGCAGCATTTTGACCCATGCTTGAAATCCATTTTATTTAATATAAGAAAGGTTTAAAAAAAAAAAAAAAAGGCAGCTGAAGGCTAAGGAAAGAAGCACTCCTGATGGCTGAGGGGCTGAGCAGGGCACGGGCTGTGCTGCTGAGGGAGGATGCTTAAGCTCAGCGCAGGACTCACACGGGCAATCCCTGTTGGGGAGCTCTGGCTTTGTTGCAGTTCCAGAGAGGAAAATAAACATTATTCTCAGCAAAACATACTTTTGGAATTTGCTCATGTAATTCTTAATGGGAAACCAAACAATGTAGTACGTATTCCAGGTATTTTTTTTGGCAGCAAGTTCAGGTTTTCATGGCGGGCAACATTATTTATTAATATTTTCCAACCTAATCAGTCTTAGAGCATTGATATGATCTTTGCTACAATCAGTTTGGAGAGTCAGGACTGACTGTGAAATTTTTGATCTTTATTGAAATTAACTAAAGCAGGCAGGTTAAAGGTAAGGAGGAAAAATATTTATTTATTCTGTTCTCCAGGCTCAGCAAGCTTTCTTCCTGCTCTCAAGCTTCAAATGTCTTGCATCAAATGCAAATATTTTAATTGCAGCCGTTTTTCCAGGTGCCTTATATGAAACTAAATTCAGAAACTTCTCAGAATTTGTATCCTCAAAAACTAGTTCATATATAGCTAATGTGAACTGTCTTTTTTGGAGAGCAGCTCTTATTGTCTCCACCGTATGCTGTGCATATCTAAAATACTTCTTCAGCTAAACCGCAAGAATTCTTCTTGAGAGTTTTGTTCTTACCACAGAAGTAAAACTCAGATACTGTAAAGTGAAATCTGCAGATATTTCCAAGTGGTTGGCAAGAAAGAGAGCTTTACTCCCAGTGCATCTGGACAAGAAGTGTACACACATTATAAGGAAGCACAGGAGAATGGGTTTGACAGCGACCTGAGTGGCCTTTCTCCCAGCACAGGTCCGATGTGCCAGCGTCACCCGACAGCTCAGCCATCAAAGCCCCTCCACCTCCTCCAGCAGTCTGGCTCTGTGCCTCGCCAGCCTCACTACTGCTGCTCCTGAATTCTAGTTCTCATCGTTCTGACTGCAGTTTGAGCTTCTTATTTCCTCTTTTAGCTACCACACATATGGACTCTGGACACACTACTTTAGCTGAGGCCATGCCAGTGTGGAATAGGGAAGAAGGATGTCTTGTGTTTTGCAGATGATGCTTCTCCTGACAAGGTTCTTTATCACAACATCATCACACTGGTCAATCACTTCCAGCCAGTAATCCTGGATAAATCTCACCTACTGGCCTGAAGAATTACTGTCTCACCAGCTTTTCTTTATGCAGCTGATTATTTTCACCTTGGTGCAAAATCTTCCTACATCTATAGGGAATTTCATTCAGTGTCTTTAACTAATTTCTGTTTTCGAAAGGCTGGCAGCTGGCTTACATCCTCGTGGCATCTGGGTACCATCAGGCTGCGTTAGCTCCAGGGAGAGCCTGCCCGGATCGGGGAGCTTGTGGTCCAGCCTGAGGCTGTATATTTCGTTAGAAAACATGAAAGTGTCCTAGCGAGCTGCTGAAAAACAGTATAATGGCATTTTTCAAACCGGGACTGCAAATGTATGCTTATAGACCCTGTAGATTTGTTTTTTTGCTTTTATTATTTTTTATTTTTAAGAAGATGATCAGTAACACAGTCATACCTTGGACATCTAGGATAACACAGATAACATGAAGATGTTGCCAGTGAAATGAGGCATAAGTGGGGTTATAAAATGCTTTCTGTTTAAAGCACGGGTACTTGAAAAGTGAAGTTATGCTTTAAAATAGGACCATGAATACAAAGAAAAATGTAGGGGTGGATTGTTTGTTGGTTTTTAGTACATGACGCTAATGTGGAGAAAGAATAGTGAGGAAATGGCTCAGGCTGCACCTGTGAAAATAAACAGAACTTTTTCAAAAGAAATCTTCTACCTGGTTTCATTTTTCTTCCCAAAGGTTAGAGCTGCCTTTAAGCACAAAACCAAGGTCTGGTCCCTTACCAGTAGTTCGACTCGCAATGTCAATGTGAAACCCTTCAACTCAGACATTGTAAGTATTCTTCCTTTTTTTTTTTTTTTTTTTTTCCCCTATTGCACTTGAAAGTGTTCCACATTCAATTCTGCCGGAAAGAGCCCTACACAAGAAGGCACATGGGTATTTTCAGGACCTAGCCTAATGCATGGTGTAGACAGGTGGAATCAGCAAGGATTAAGCTGCAGCTACAATATTTGTTTTGAAAGCAAAGGACAAAATTCTGCTTTTTGATAAACTATCAAATAAAAGTAAATGAAAGTTTATGAACTCTGGAGTATGGTTCAATGAGACTATTCCCACCAATTTTAATGGACTTCATATCGTGCATTCAAGCAGCATTTTGGCAATGTATTGGTCTGACGATGATGGCTTTTGATGGGACACTTTTACATTTAAGCCTGAGGAATGAACTCTTAAATAAATCAGGGTGTGAATATGCTTCTCTAGCTCTCCTTAAACTGTCTTGAGGCAAAAGACATTTGTTTTTACAAAGAACCAGATTTCTGAAGTGATAGGTATTATTAAGTGATGGCTGCCAATCACCTTAGATCGGGGCAATAACTGTTTAAAACTCCTTCTTGAGAGCACATGCTCTCAAGACTCCGTGACACCGCTATAATGTAAATAGATGCTTTCAAGCTTTTATTTCATCTAGACAAGAGTGGTTTAGCAAAATAAATAAATCTATTTTCAATATTATTTTTTTTTCCAGATGACTGGGAACAAGCCAGGCACAACCCCCACAAAGCTGAACACCTGGGATAAAAGCACCAATTCAGCCAACCGCATTGATTTATCAGCAGTCTGACAGCAATACCCGCTTCTCGGTGAAAATCAAGCCATACATTCAGGACCTCTGACACAGTGGCCACCAGTTTTTTCTCACTGTTAATCCCAGTAGAAAACTGCTTTTTTAATCACCGCCCAATAAATTGGGAATTGCCATCTTGTTTTGTTGAGTAAACAGCCCTCGTACGCTTGCCTTTGAAACTGTTCCACATCCCACCACTTGGCTATTTGCAATATCTGTACAAATAACTCGCACAAATATACACTGGATGGTTTTGTCAGCAATGATGAACGCAAAAAGGGCTTATTGCTTTCTGAATCATTCCAGCTCCCAGACCTGAGGAAAGGCAACATACCTCTGGCAAGATGGATTTTTATGCTCTAAAATGAAATGCTTCCCATTGTGATGTTGTAATGGGGCTATTCTGGTCTTGCTGTGCGCTCTCTGTTTACATTTATTACCTTACAGAATCCAATTATCAAAGTGAAGCTTATTCAAATTACGTAGTGCGGTGATTAATTTAAATGCTACAAGGAAGCCAGAACTTGAGGGAGAAGCAGGTTCCAGCTATTCAGCTCCCAGCACGGGTGTGGAATTAGCAAACCTAATATACACATACATCGCTATGCACATAAGCAGCATATGTAACAGGTAATGATCCTGTACGCAGCCCATTAGTATTTTAGATATTCCTGTTTGCATCGTCTCTATAAAAGGCAGAAACGGCTAAGGTTGTCCTATAGCAGCCCACAGCACATCAGTCGCTGATTTGTGTCCGCTGACATATCGCAATACAAAGCATTTCTATTGCTTCGCCTGAAGCTTTTGGATGCAATCAACAGCTGTCCATCAAGTGCGTTTCACAAATGCGCTGTAGCTTTTGGAAATCAAAACCTGGCACTGTGACTTATCTTTCTCCTTTTACTGGTCAAATCGAGACACTGAATTCCAACCAGAAAAATGTAACACAATGATATACTGTGAAGACCGCCAGACTACAAATAAGTCTACGTATTGTTACCTACAGACAGCTTTTAAATAGGTCTCTGCAGAGTCTTTTGTGGTTTTAAACTCTGCTCAGCACTTAATAGCTTCTGCTTTAGTACTGCTATGAAGCATCTTTTAAGGAGAGGGGGGAAAAAAAAAAAAAGCACTGTAATTTTTCTTTTGACCAGTGTTTTGTAGGTTCTCAGAAGCAATGTTGGGAGCACAAGCCCAGCTGAGCCAGTGATGCACCGCTCCGGCTGGAGGTACAGCAGGCTGTGAGCCCCGGAGGTGGTCAGAGCCCCTAACTCTGTGTCTTGCTCTAGGATTTACTGAGCAGCCAGGGGCCCCAAGAGCAATTTCCAAAGATGAGGCCCCCCTGTGCAGAGTGGGATTGCAGCTGTGTCTCCTTATCCCCAGCTCCTCCTTGTTTGCAGTAGCTGTCTCCCTAATGCACTGGGTATACTGGTCTGCAGGAATTACCACGGTAATTATATTGGCTTTCCTAATACCCTGGGCTAGCAAAATACCACAAAAGAAAGGAAATATGCAAATCGCCAATCTCATTTTTTTTGCTAAGAGTTTTTGTGGATTTTTTTTTTTTTTTTAAATTAAAGTATTGTGTCTTCAGCAGCTCAGGTAATTTCTGGTCCCAGTGAATCTAGCAAGGTATGTGCTGCTGATTTCCATCAGAGAAGGTATTTGCATCCTAATGTGTAGGGTAGAAATTGTTTATTTGATAGTAAATTTGTAAAAAAGAAGTAAAAGTAAATTGATCTCTAGGGAAGAGGAAACATTCATCAATTAGGATTGAGTTTAGTGAAGTGTTTCATCCAGAAGACATGGAGTTGAAGGTTTAGAAAACATCAATACATTTCATTTCTTGATTGATCCAAAACAAGTTTGCTCTGTGTTTCCTTCCTGCACTAAGAAAAAATGATCTGTTTCAGTTTGGACCAATCTTTTCCTGTGCCTTCTCCCCTTCCTGGCCAAGACTTGTTGGTGTGGTCACCAAACTGAAACCCCACAGTGCACCCAAGTGTGTCTGTGGTTACAAATTAAAACATTCTACAGAAATTACCGTAGCTTCACTAGATATACGCTGGATTTATGCAGCTAGGACAGAGCAGAATGCGGCATACTTACATGCATAAAATAGATAGGCTGATCTTGTGTTTCCTATGGCTAAAGAACTCCAGCTGTTGACAGGTAACTCCAAAAGGCAGGTCAGTAGAAGTTAAGTATCTAAATGTCTGTGTCTTTATTTCGGCTTTTGTGTATGGATTTTTTTCCTAGCCTTTTCTACATTGGACCGTCTTATAGCTGTGCAAATGTACGGGCTTTTATTGGTCTGAGAGTGATGATTTTTTTTCCCAAAAAGACCCAGTAGAAGGAGCCCTTGGAATGTATGGAAGAGATTGTAAGAGAACAGTACTGTGATAACAGAGTTCAGTGTTTGTGTTGTGTGCAGACAACATATTTAAGCATATTTTTTTATACTGGAGCATGTGAGTTTTTGTTGTGGGTTGGTTTGTTGTTTTGGTTTTTTTTTTTTTTTACACTGTGACCATGGATACAGATCGAAACCCTCCTTGATCATGTCTCTTCTAATCATTGTGTTATAGCACAAACAGGTCTGTGAATGAACAGAGGACAGATGAAATCTTTCTTTTTTTTTAAATCTTTGTTTTAAAGAATATTTCCCTCTGCACAATTTTCATTGCCTGTGTTTCCTCCTATGCTGATGTACATTGGTCACCTATGTCACTACCCAAGGTCCATTTGAAAAAACCATGTGGTGTATGAATGACAGGAGTATAAAGGGCTAAACCTGGTTTTCATCCAAGTGTACCACATTTTAAAATTGTTCAGCAAAAATAAGAAGAGCATGAAAATGTTTTGGTTTCATACTTTAGAGTGTGACATAGATGTATTGTATACCGAGGGAGCATTTATTATCCCGTATCTGCTGAGATCCTCTGTGGATAACCTGCATCCCAGGCTTTAACTTTTGAACATTACTTGTGATGAAGCAGTTTATCTTGTTGTTTATGTCACATGAGGTTGGGAGCTACAACACTGTATTTATAATATTGGGTTGGGGATGGGGTTTCTTCTGTTTTTGATAAAAAAATAGCAAAAAGCCACAAAGTACAAATGTGTTGTATTGCCATCTAAGTCCATTCTTTTTGTTTGATTCCATGTATTTTTGTTGTTACTGAGTGCAGCAAATGTACTGAATAAGAAATGCTCCAATGAATCTTTAAACAATCTCTTCCTGTCCTCAGTCTTTTGAAGCCTGAGAATCTTGCAGTTTATTTATGGGCTTGTATATAGCAGCTTTTGCAATATTTTTGTTTTCAGGACAGCATCATTTTGTCAATGGTATGAAATCTTAATTGAATGAGATGTGAGTTTTAAAATAGGTAATGTAGCAAGAATGACTTTGCCAGTAAGTAGTAAAATAATTTAGTTGTGTTGTGTTTTTTTCCCTCAAATAAATAAGAAATCTTAATTTCCTAAAAGAACTTTGTATTTGTTCAAATTATTCTTTTGACACGGGTTATAAACAACAGCATAACAATTATGGCTCCCTGTGAGTACTGTTGTGATTAAACAAGCAGAGCTTTACTCATATGAAAAGTCCTACTATATGCATCAGGTACACCTAGGTAATGTGCAGACAATATTTTTTATTAAAGTTTATACCCACAGAATATCCTGAGGAAAGGCATTCCTCCCCTTTAAGAAAGGAGTCTATGTTATGAAGCAGCTCCTGCAGATTATTTCTAATCCAACTATTCCAGCAACCTGGGCAAGGTCAGTTCATCGGTGAAAAAAAATGACATTTATTGATATGACAAAGAGATTCTGTCTCAGACTCATTCTACCAGATCTCTCAATGTAGCATTGTGTGTGTGACACACTTTCCTTTAGATTTTTTTTCTTGGAGCCGCAGAGATGTCCTTCTTGTTGTGGCTGCAGAGTCTAATGTATACATGGGAGCCTCTGTGCCTGTGAAGCAGCACGAGCAGATCCCCTGCCACCTATGCTGCATCAGAGTGGTGTCCCAGCGCTGCAGCAAATGGATGAATTCCTCTGGCCCTTCAGGACTACCAGCTTGTGGCCTTTCTAGCAAAAGAGATCTGCTGGGGTTTGATACAGCCAGTGCAGAAAAGCCAGCACAAGGTTCAGATCTCACCTCCGTGGCTCAGAGACTGAAGCTTTGTCTCTAGGACTAGTTTCATGCTAGAGCAGGGCAACGGGTCGTAATGAAGTCCATTTAAAAAAAAACTTGCAATTTTTTTAACTAATGCATATTGTGTTCAAACTTTATTACTACTATGCTTTTATCTGACAATGATGATGTAAATCCAGAAGTGTTACATCTCAAAGAACAAACGGCTCCAAAAGCTTACCATCATAGGCATGCAGTTCTGTAGGCGATACATTTTCAAGGTTACAGCTAGTTCTATTATGATTAATAGGCTGCCAGTTGCCTCCTGTATGTTGCATGGCCATGTAGATGTGGTGGGGTGATGATGGGAAGTTAAATAGGACGGGAATTATGTGATGAAGAATAACTAGAGCAATTATATCCTGAAAAATTAAAGATTGGCATTTAAATGAGAAAGGTGTTTCATCATCTTTCAATACCCATTACAAAGAAATCTGCCTCCACTTGTATCCCTCCAAATCATGTATCAAGGCACACATAAAAGAATGCTTTCTTGTTATTCTGTGAAATGTAGAGGGTATTTTTAACATTTATCATTCATGACAGGATAATAAATTAGATAATTTCGGCACTGGTTTACATCATGTTTGCCTTTAAAAATATTTTCATTATATCTGTGTTCCGCTTGGCTGGCTCAGTGTAGTACGTCATGGATAGTTATTGCTATAATTGCCCTTGTTCACACAATTTTCTTTCTCAATAATCCCATATGTTCTTGGAATTTGGAGGCCATCTTTCATCTTGTCAGGGGTGATTACAACACTGAATATACCACTGACATCAGTGTATTCACCAGGTGCTGACACATGACAGAAATACTGAGTCGTAAGTGTGGCTTTTAGGAGCTGTTCAGCGCATGTTTACCAAGCAGCTCCCTTGACCAGTGGCTAATTTGCTAGGGGTAATTCCCACTACAGCAGCTTCAGGCTAATTTACCTATACCAAAGGCAACAGAAGTTTTCTCTCCCCATGTTATTCTCTGTCATTACTGTACAAAAGCAGGCTTGACTGGGCGTTGAGTGTCTTCCTTGAAGCATTCTCCAAGCTAAGCATTTGCTTATCTCTACTTAAGAACGTGGAATAATGCACAAAACTGTTCAAGCCATAACAACGGAAGCACTATGTGCAACCCTGTCATTGCCTCAAGTTTTGGTTTGTGCCTGTAATATCCTGCAGAAAAATATGCAACAAAACAAAATGAAATTTTTACCCTCTAAAAGTGTCTCAAGTTAAGCAGCAAAGACCAAATGCTCCTTGGAAAATCTGGGCCTTATATA